AGAGCTAAGAAGTTTATTTTAAATGAAAATTTTATATGTTTTTTTCTCCCCTTTATAGCTTCTGGAAGAAAAATGTTGTGGGAAGTTGGATCATATCAATTTTCCAGTATTTGAACCAAGTACTCCAGATCCTGCTCCTGCTAAAAATGAGTCCTCTCCTGCCCCTCCAGATTCAGATGCTGATAAGCTTAAAGAAAAAGAACCTCAAACTCAAGGAGAGAGTACAAGCCTGAGTTTAGCTTTAAGTTTGGGCCAGTCCACAGATAGCTTAGGTACTTATCCAGCTGATCCACAAGCAGGAGGAGACAACCCAGAAGTTCATGGTCAAGGGGAAGTAAAACCTGAGAAGAGACCAAACTTGGTTGATCGACAGGCATCCACAGTTGAATATCTTCCAGGAATGCTACATTCAAATTGCCCAAAAGGTCTCCTACCCAAATTCTCAAGTTGGTCTTTAGTTAAACTAGGTCCTGCTAAGTCTTATAACTTTCATACAGGTTTGGACCAACAGGGCTTCATTCCAGGAACAAACTATCTAATGCCTTGGGACATTGTCATTAGGACTAGAGCTGAAGATGAAGGAGACTTAGACACAAATTCATGGCCTGCTCCAAATAAAGCTATTCCTGGAAAAAGAAGTGCCATCGTAATGGGAAGAGGAAGACGACGAGATGACATAGCTCGAGCTTTTGTGGGCTTTGAATATGAAGATTCTCGAGGTCGGAGATTTATGTGCTCGGGGCCTGAAAAAATAATGAAAGTGATGGGCAGTGGACCAAAGGAATCAGCTTTAAAAGCTCTAAATAGTGATATGCCCTTATATATCCTGTCATCATCTCAGGGCAGAGGTCTAAAGCCACATTATGCTCAACTTATGAGACTTTTTGTTGTGGTTCCAGATGCTCCTTTGCAGATAGTACTCATGCCTCAGGTAAGAAATACAGCTTTTGCTCCAAACAAAAAATGCTGATGCTTGTTTTGATTGTTTTTAAAAATGCAAGTTAATTATTTTATTAGGTTTTTTTCCCTAAAGTACAGGTTAAATAGTTCTTTTAGTAAGTAGTTCTTGGGTTTAAAATATCTTTTATGGGGGCTGGGAAGGTGGCTCAGTGGTAGAGTGCTTGCCCTGCATGCATGAGGCCCTGGGTTTGATTCCTCAGCACCACATAAGCAGAAAAAGCCAGAAGTGGCGCTGTGGCTCAAGTGGTAGAGTGCTAGCCTTGAGCTGAGGCCCAGAGTTCAGGCCCCAGGACTGACCACCCCTCCCCCCCCCAAAAAAAAATATATATGCCTGATATTGTTTCTTAAAAAGAAACAGCTACTTCTTAAAAAGAAGTAGCTTGCCTTTGAACCTAGTGATGCTTAAGGCATTGTCTTGTTCATTACTGAGAGTCTCAAACTCTCACTTGTTCTAACACTGGAGCCATGCCTCCAGTTCTTTCAGGTGTTGAGAAATGTAAAACCAATTGTATTTCCTGTGTTCTTTTCTTTCTTTGTTTTTTTTTTCAGGTTCAGCCAGGTCCACCACCATGTCCAGTATTTTATCCAGAAAAACAAGAAATCACTCTTCCTCCTGATGGCCTTTGGGTCTTGAGATTTCCTTATGCATATGTGACTGAGAGAGGACCTTGTTTCCCTCCTAAGGAAAATGTACAGTTAATGAGTTATAAGGTGCTCCGTGGAGTTCTTAAAGCTGTGACACAATAAGAGTTTTCCAACCAGTTCAAGCCTTAACCAAAGCTGATTTTTGGTTTTGGTGTGAGGTTTTTGTGTTGTTGTGGTATATGTATACTGTGTTTTTCCCAAACCCAAATGTGTTTTGGTTACAGGTTTCAGTATTTGTATAATAATTCTTTCACTATTTCATTACATTGTTGATATTTATTGCCAATGGGGTTACAGCTTCCTAATAAAGACTGGCTTAGTTGTAGAACAAAAGATCATAAAATATATAAAGTTGATAGCTCTCTTTTCTCGTGTTTCATTTTCACTGCTTCTTATTGAATGTTTCATAATCATGTTGGGTCAAAACATTGTTTACTAGAATTGTTTTTGCTAAGCTGATTTTTCACTTAAAGATACTGCTTCTGGCTGGGTGCCAGTGGCTCAAGCCTATAATCTTATCTACTCAGGAAACTGAGAACTGAGGATCATGGTTCAAAGCCAACCAGAGCAGGAAATCCCATGATATCTTTTTTTTTTTTTTTTGTCGGTCTTGGGGCTTGAACTCTGGGCCTGGGCACTGTCCTTCAGCTCTTCAGCTCAAGGCGAGCGCTCTACCACTTGAGCTACAGCGCCACTTCCGGTTTTCTGGTGGTTTATTGGAGATAGGAGTCTCTGTCTCTCCTGCCCGGGCTGGCTTTGAACCGTGATCCTCAGATCTCAGCCTCCTGAGTAGCTAGGATTACAGGCGTGAGCCACCAGCGCCCGGCTCCCATGATATCTTATCTCCAATTAACTACCAAAAAAGCTGAAAGTGGAGCTGTGGCTCAAGTGGTAGAGCACTAGCCTTGGAAGCTCAGGAACAGTGCTCTCATCCTGAGTTCAAACATTGTTTCACTCACTAAGCTAAATCCCCAACCCTTCTTCTGATTAGTTTTGAGATAAGAGTCTTGGTTTTCTTTTTTCCTAGCTGTCTTGGACTTCAATCTTCCAAATTGAAGCTTCTTGCTGTAACTAAAGTTGGTTGAGATAGTTGTCACAAATGTTTTTCCTCTGCTGGCCTCAAACCAAGATTCTTTGGCTCTTCGCCCCTGAGTAGTTTGCCTGGCCAATTTCTTTTCTTCTTCTTCTTCTTCTTTTTTTTTTTTTGAGACAAGTTCTGACTAGGTAGTCCAAACTGATCTTGAACTCTGAATCTTCCTGCCTCTACCTCTCATTTCTGGGATTATAGCCATGTAGTGAGAACTCCTTAAACATGCACATATGTAAATGAGACTTAGGCCAGAAACTCAATTCTAGGAGTTCCAACATACCAAGTCTGGTCATTCATCTCAGTACAGCAAATAGAGACAAGTACTAGTGAAGTGTAGTGCACACAAAGTAAGCATTTCAGCTCATCGTTGGGGTACTGACATGAACTTTGCATTTAAATAGAGGAAGAACTGGGGCAAGGGGAGGGAAGGATGTATAAGCAAGTAGTCCTGGATAACATAGCTGGTTGAGCATTATTTAAGTTCTGGTTCTACAAAGAATTCTGGAGCCATTTTTATTGCTATAATCACTTGAGGGGAGCAATTCAAGCTTTGGAGGAAGTGATACTTTACAACTAAAATTTCTGTTTTTGTGCCTATTACATGCCAAGCCTCAGTAATTGTTTGTATTTCTTCCTGTAGGGTATAACAGCAGCATATAGCAAGGTATAGTCTCATCATTATAGGTAGTCACCCTCATTAGGTGATGATTTATCCTGAGGTTTTTGTTCTTGGGGGTAGTTTCATTCCTTTTGTCATAAAGATGTTATTATTAGTCCTATCCTTGAAGCACAGGACAGTCACTCAGAGCAAAAAAGACAGTTAGAAAATGAAGGCAGGGATGCCAAACTTTCATCCTGCTTTATAGCTACCTTTTTTTTAAAAAATTCTACTATTTTTATTATTTTTATTTGTATTTTTACATATATTTAATTTTTTTTTTTTGTCGGTCGTGGGGCTTGAACTCTGGGCCTAGGCGCTGTCCCTCAGCTCTTCAGCTCAAGGCGAGCGCTCTACCACTTGAGCTACAGCGCCACTTCCTATAGCTACCTTTTTATCCATCCATCCATCCATCTCTTCCCTGGGTTCAGGATCATGTGTTTGTATGAGCCATAATGGGCTTTTTTGCTCATTCTACTAGTTGAGCCATGCCTCCAGCCTGGCATTTTGCTGACTAACTGGAAATAAAGAATTTCACAGGCTGAGAATGTGGTTTAGTGGTAGAGTGCTTGCCTAGCATGCATGAAGCCCTGGGTTTGAGTCCTCAGTACCACATAAACAGAAGAAGCCAGAAGTGGCACTGTGGCTCAAGTGGTAGCCTTGAGCAAAAGAAGCTCAGGGACAGAGCCCAGGCCCTGAGTTCAAGCCTTAGGACTGGCAACAACAACAGCAACAAAAAAAGAAACATGTTCCCAAGGATGACTTTCAACCATTATCCTCCATGTCTCAGCCTCTTGAGTGGCTAGGATTGCAGGCATCAGCCACTGGCATCCAGGGTCCCCCCCTTCCCTGCCCCCTCTACTGAAGATCAAACCATGCTAGGCAAGGACTCTACCACAAATCCTAGATTAATTCCTTTAAATTGAAATGTGAGCCTGGTGCTGGTGGCTCACGCCTGTAGCTACTTAGGAGACTGAGATCTAAGGATCATGGTTCAAACCAGCCTGGGCAGGAAAGTCCATGAGACTGTTATCTCCAATAAAACCACCAGAAAGCTGGAAGTGCTGCTGTGGTTTAAGTGGTAGAGCACTCGCCTTGAGCTGAAGAGCTGAGGGACTAAAGCCCCACGACCAACGCCCCCCCCCCACAAAAAAATGGAAATGTGGGTTGGTTGCTTGGAATGTGTGCGATGGCTGGATGTAGGGATGAAAAAGAGACTAGTGGAGCCTTTTGGGATTCGATGCCACAACAAAAATGAGAAGAGTATCTATTGCATGCCAGACCTCAGTTAATTGTTTGCATTTCCTAGAGAAGCCTCTAAAACCTGCTGTGGAATCTTCTTTCCTTCTTCCAATTACGGCAGGCTTTCCTGAGGCGTTCCCTTTGAATAATAGCCTTTCCAGAAACAACACTCACACACACAACACACATACACCACCAGGTGACTCAACGCAGCACCTTGACAGAAAACCGGAGTGCGCTTGCGCTTTGGAGCCCCTTTGTTACTAGGGGGCCCAAAAGTCAGACTGCGCCTGCGTGGTAAACCGGCACGAACAAGTGCGCTGCACGCCCGACACCGGCGGGGGGCGAACAGACCTCGAGCAGCCGCCGCCGCCGCCGCCGTCGCCGCCGTCGCCCGCCGCAGCCGTTGCGCCGCAGCGGCGTTCAGCGATCTCCCTCCTCCCACTCAGAGACAGGAGACTTCACCCCGGGCTCCGAGACCGAGAATGTCGTCCTCCGCGGCCTTTTATCTTCTGTCGACCCTGGGAGGATACCTGCTGACCTCGTTCCTGTTACTGAAATACCCGACCTTGCTGCACCAGAGGAAGAAGCAGCGATTCCTCAGTAAACACATCTCCCACCGCGGAGGTGAGCGGGCCGCGGGGCGGAGCGGGCTGGGGG